TGTCCAACAAGACATGAGTAGATTGATAACATGTGGTATATGTATACCATGGAGTTCTACTCAGCCACAAAAAACGATGGTGATATAGCATCTCTTGTATTATCCTGGATAGAGCTGGAGCTCATTCTACTAAGTGAAGTATCACAAGAATGGAAAAGCAAGCTCCACATGTACTCACCATCAAATTGGTATTAACTGATCAACACCTGTGTGCACATACAGTAGTAACATTCATCAGGTGTCAGGCAGGTGGGAGTGGGGAGAAGGGGATGGGTATATTCACACCTAGTGGATGCAGTACACACCGTCTGGGGGACAGACACGCTTGAAGTTCTGACTTGGGCGGGGCAAAGGCAATATATGTAACCTAAACAGCTATCATTTGTACCCCCGTAATATGCTGAAATAAAAAAATAATAAATTTTAAAAATACATATATATATATATATATATATATATATATAAATATTACCATTGCCCAATAAGGTGTACCCTGCCTGCTCGGGAAAGGACTCTTATTCTGTCTCTGGAGTAAGATCTGTTGTCTGTCTCTGTCTCAATAAAACCTTCCTGTAGCTAGGAGAGAGAGAGCCATCTCTCTCAAATTCATTCCTGTGCAAAGCCAAGAAGCCACTTGGCCAGTTCAAGGGGCTTTCCTCCCATCACTGGGGCATCCCTACATCGATGCTGCATCAGTTATCCTTTAGGGCCATTTAGTACCCTGAATATCTTCAGCAACAATGAAAATATCTTTGTAAGACTGTAAATAAGCTCAGCATGCTTTGTATTTCTTAAGTTTAATCATCAGTAAAAAGATTCAAAAGAAACGGTTCAAAATAAAAAGAGATTTTTGTGGTAAACAAAGAGAGAGCTCCCTCCAAGTCATCTCTGAACACAGCTGTAAGTCAACAATGGATTCACTGATCATAATACAAACCTCTATCACATTAGCCACAAGCCATGATTCTATCAAATACTCCAGTGAAATCCAGACAGTGACATACCATTGTTTTATAATCAGACCAAATATGAATTCTGACTCTGACATTTGCTAGAAATGTAATCTTGAGAAGTGCCTATTCAAATCCAAAATAGAATGTACGTTATTATTCTAATTTATCACTCAACAAATTTGCTCTCATTCTCTTTCACATGTTTTCCCTCAGTTTTATAAACTTCATCTGCTCTCTCGGCTTTTGCTTTTCTTATATTTCAGAATATTTCCTTATTCAAAATAAATACTTCAAAACTATAATATACAAGCTACAAGGTAATTTCTGAATACTACTGTACTCAAAAGTGATAAAGAAAAAAATGTATTTAAATTATGCAAAAATAGGTCATAGCCTGACGTAAGTGTGGTTCTCCACAGATTAAAAATATGCACTGTTCTTTGTAAATAGCAGAATTATGTAAAGATTTCATCCAGATCTATTTTATCAACTAGTCTGGAGGACAACATTAGTATGCCCCTCCCGTCAATCATCCTATGCAGACAATTTATAGGGATAAAAACTAAAGACAATTATTTCAAATTTCTTCATCATCACATAAACATAAAAGAAAAATACCACATATCACTGTTTGTGGTTTTCAGAAAAATCATTAAGAATCATACAAAGGTAAAGGGAGTAAGCTAAAGGAGCTGTAAAAATTGAAACCTAATGCCAGAAAACAGAATGTGCCCTTTTCGAAAGCCTCTTTCAGGGTATCGTAATAAAGAGACATGTAATACTGTAGTAATAAAATTTGTAAAAAGTTCCCTTCCATTATATTCAAGGTTTCCAAAAACTAAATTTAAAAAACGTTATCCAAGCTCTGTCTGTTGATGTTGTTAAAACTCAAGTTGCAAGGCCATGCTGAAAAGATAATCCACTCTCTCCTGCCTCCTATTCTCCATCAGTCACAACTCACTGTGGTTTGCGGTACTTTTTTTAAATGAGGATAATCTATCATTTTCAGTTATACAGAGAAAATGAAGTCTAAACAACAGAGATAGGTGTGCCTATAAATGCTCCATCAGCCACATGTATTTACCTTTGCTCCTTCTAGATATTTAATTTAAATGACAATAAAGGGATTTTTTAAAGCATAAATCCTTAAGGAAGAACAAATGGAAAATGAAACAAAAACAACAAAATGCTGAAGCAGAAAGTCAGAAACAAATAACTTGAGAAAACCAATATCAAGCTGGCAGTGAGGGAAGCTGACTGACAACCTGTTTATATCAATATTTCTAGACAGCAGGCTCCAATATAACAGTCATTAGCCATATGTGGCTATTTAAAGTTAAATTGATTAAAATTAAATTTTAAAATTCAGTTTCTCAGTCACACCAGCAACATTTCAAGTGTTCTGTAGTCACAAATATTGTATTGAGCAGCACAAATATACACTATTTATATCATCACAAAAAGTTTCATTGAAGCTGAAATAGAAAGTGAGAAATTATAATGGCATGATCTACAGGAACATCAGAAAAACCACATACATGGGAATAAACCTAATGAAAGATAGGCAAGACCATAACACTATCCAAAGGAAATCCTACATAAATGAAGAGATATACCATATCCATGGATTGGAAGACCCCACCAAATTTTTAAAAACTATCAATTCCCTCTACAATGAACTGTGTATTCGATCCAAATCAAAATACCAATAAAACTGTTTGCTTGACAAGCTGATTCCAAAATACACATAGAAATGCCAGAAAGCACCAAGACACCTTGGAAGAAGAGGACTGCTCATACTATCATATATCAGACTTAACATAAAGTACAGCAATTAATATAACATAGTATTAAAGTAAGAATAGACAAATACGTGATGAAATAGAATAAAGAATTCAGAAAGACATCTGCATAGTAGAGGTTCTAGCCAGGACAACTAGGCAAAAAAATAAAAATAAATAAAAGGCATCCAGATTAAAAAATCGAGAAGTAAAACTCTCTATTCGCAGATAACATAATCTTATACAAGGTGACCCTCAAACAATGCGGGTTCAAACTGTGCAGGTCCACAGGGTGCCAAGATAATTTAACAGGGAAAGAAATCTTTTCAACAAATAGCCCTGGGACAATCTGATAGCCACATGCAAAAGAATGAATTTGGACCCTTACCTCACACCATTTACAGAAATTAACTCAAAATGGATCAAAGACCTAAATGTAAGCTAAAACTATAAAAATATTATAGAAAACATAGAAGCAAATTGTTATAACCTCAGTTTTGGCAATGGATTATTTGCTATGACACTAAAAGGAAGAGGAACTAAAGAAAAAATAAATTGGACTTGATTAAAATTTTAAAACTTTTGTGCTTCAAAGGACACTATCAAGAAAATGAGAAGACAACCCACAAAATGAGAGAAAAGTTTACAAATCATGTATCTGATCAGGGAATTCCATCCACAAAATATAAAGAACATTTACAACTAAGTAAAAAAGGCAAGCCAGTTAAAAAATGAGCCAAGGATCTGAACATTTATCCAGAGAATATATACAAATGGCCAACAAGCATATAAAGAGATACTTGACATCGTTAGCCATCAGGAAATACAAACAGACTCCACAATGAGATGCCACTGTATACTCACTAAGATGGCTAGAATCAAAAGGTCAGATAATAACAAGTGTTGACAAGGAGCTGTAAAAATGAGAACAGTTGTACGCTGCTGATGGGAATACAAAAGTGTGCAGCCACTTTGGAACACAGTCTGGCAGTTCCATAAATGGTTAAACATAGAGTTACCATATTTTACTCCTAGACATCAACCCAAGCAAGAGAAATCAAAACGTGTCCACGCAATAATCTGTACAACAAGTATTATTGGCAACAATGTTCATAATAACAAAAAGGTAGAAACAACCCAAATGTGTATTAACTAATGAATGAATAAATAAAATATAATCTTATGCATGCAATAGACTATTACTCAGCCATAAGAAGGAATGAAGTACTGATAAATGCCACAACATGGATGAACCTTAAAACACATTATGTTAAGTGAAAGAAGCTAGTCAGAAAAGAAACAAATATTATATGATTCCATTTATAGGAAATTTCTGTAATAGGCAAATCCAGACATTAGTGGTTGCCTAGGGCTGGGCAGATGGGTGGATAGAGAAGTGACAGCTAAAGGATGTAGGGTTTCTTTTTTAAGTGATGAAAATGTTCCAAAATTGACTGTGTTGATGATTGCACTTATCTATGAATATACTATTAATAAAAACCAGTGAATTGTCCATGTTAGGTGAATTGGATGGTATGAGAATTATATCTCACTAAAAAAGAAAGATACATGCACATGTTTGGTCATCTTGTTATGACAAAGGTAAACTTCCAGAGCACTGGGGAAAACGTTGTTTTTAATAAATCATGCTGGTTCAATTAGATATCCATGTAAGGAAAAAAAATGAATCTTGTTCCCTATTTTTTTTTTTTTTTTTTTACCTATTTTTTATCATACCCAAAAATCAATCCCAGATGGACTGGAGATCTAAATATAAAAGGTTAAAAGTTTCTAGAAGATTATCACAGAAAGTTATCTCCATGACCTTGTGTAGGCAACAACTTCTTAACTGGGACACAGGAGAGCATGAACCATACAGGGAAATAAATTAAGTTACATGGACATTTAAAGCTTCTCTTCACCAAGACACCATTAAAGAGTAAAATGGCATGCAACATCGTGGGACAAAATAATTGTAATGAATGTATACGTATGACAAAGAACTCATTTTCTGAATATTTATAGCATTCCTATAAAATGAAAAAAAAAAAAAAAAAAAGACTTGAACAGGCACTTCTACAAGAAAAGGAGATGTCCAAATGGCTAAAAGAATGTGAAAAGATATCCAATCACTTCAGTCAGCAAGAAAATATTAATATAAATTAAAACCACAGAATGCCCAACACTTAAAGAGTGACAAAAACAAATACTGGTGAGGATTTAGAATAGCAGGTATTAAAAGCATAAAATGGAATAAAAAACTTACTTCAAAAGTTCATAATTCTTCTCATTTAACCTCACAGCATTCTCTCTCCAAAATTTTTCAGATTTGTGCACAGGACTCCACTCCAGCCTTCCAGATTTAAGTTCTGAACTGTATTCATCAAATGAACTACAAAAATTTTAAAGAATTCAAAGTTTATAAAAATCTGAGTTACTACAAAATTAAGCAAAATAAACATCTTCACTGATGACTTAACAACAAAGACTGACCACTAAACAAAGTTTAAACAACCTTTAGTAAATCATATGAACTTTTATTCCAGGCATTAAGGTCCAACATGCCTTTGAATGCTGGGCATGAGATATTAAAATAGGCACTTATATTCAAAATTCTTACCCCAATATATACATGAATGTGTATAAGTATTAATAAAAGATTTGATAATCTATCAGGATTTCTACCGTGACACTTGGAATTCTTTATTTGACAGACCAATAAATATATTAATGTCAACTTAGGTAAAAGCATAGTACTTTAACATAAAATAATAGTATACTCTAATACTATTATACTTTAAGTATCATAAACTACAATAATACATCATAAGAACAAAATCACATGTATCAGTACAATATTTTACAATGTGATTAACCAACAGTGTAGAGGTAATTTATTACCTGAATTAATCTATTGTAGATTAATTAAAAACAAAAACCTCTGTACATATAATGAATTGCAATTCACTTTAATTCAAAAACCATTCACTATATGTAGAATAACTTGATTATTCAAAGCTTTATGATAGGAAATTGTTAATGTGGTAAGCCAGTAGACAAACAATGTCAGGACATGTTTGCACTTTGTTTCAAGTAAAAAGGAGATACAGCCATTCAGACGCTGGCTGGTAACTCGGTATAACCAGGTTGACTGGGTAAGTTGATCAGAGTGTCTTGTTTACATAAAACAGTAATTTACTTTAAGGTAGGGCCAGCTAGTATAAGAAGTAAACTAGTATTTTTAACATTCATATCCTAAACCTATAACAGCAAAAACAGAAACAAGCCTCTTTCAGCTACCTCCATCATCCTATTAGCTTTATGTAAACAAATTCAGTTAAGCAATAATAATTGGCTGACATGGATTAAATCATTTAGAAAGCTAACTATCACTAATCTTATTTTTTAAAAAAACAGGCCTTAAATGATTATTACAAAAGAACTGATCATAAATTGTTACACAAACCCAATAATAATAGAATTTATAACTATGAGGCCTATTGCTGGCCTGACTATTATACTAAAATTAACTTATCCATATTTGGAATTATAGAATAACAAAAATCATTTGCCTCCCTCCACAAAAATCCAGTACAAACCACTGATACAGATAACACCTCCCATCTCTGGGAAATCTTTTGGGCCTTGGGATCATGGTTGCATCGAATTATCTGGTAAATACATTTCTGAAGCACATACTACAGTAAAGGTATTTGCTGGGTAGCTGGAACCCCACAACAAATTCTGCAAGGATGGCATTTTTATTACTATTTCGCCACAATGACTTGAAAAAGTCAAGATGCTTGTGCAATGCCACATATGGAGAAAGTGGCGAAAGAATCCAAACCCATGTCAGCCTGGCTCCCAAAACCCAATCCACCTACAGAGAAGGATCTATTTTCTGAGAATGGCTTGAAAACAAAGAATACGTATGTTAATGGGAAAGATCATCAAGATATTATGAAACAGAATATCTATTTTGTGGGGGGTAGGAGATAGGCGTAGAGGGGCTAGGAAGCTTTTTGGAAGCAAACACAAGAAACCAGAGGGGGTGCAGGACTAGGCTGGGAAGACGGTGGGAGTGGTATGGAGTCCCTTCCCTACTGTGTAAGGGGTTTTTTTCTTTACTATATGTATATTATTTGCATTATTTTTCATACAAGAAATAAAAATAAAATTTCATATAAAAAATAAAACTTTCATATAAAAATAAAATCCATCCAGATGTGGTGGCTCATGCTCTTTGGGAGGCTGAGGTGGGAGGATCACTTGAGGCCAGGAGATCAAGACCAGCCTGGGTAATATAACGAGACCCCATCACAAAAAATTAGAAAAATTAGCCAGGCATGATGGTGCATGTCTGTAATTCTAGCTACTTGGGAGGCTCAGGCCTCTGGGAGGATCCCTGGAGCCCAGGAGTTCGAGGCTGCAGTGAGCTATGATTGCACCTCTGCACTATAGCCTGGGCAACAGAGTGAGACCCCATCTCTAAAAAAATAAAATAAAATAAAATAAGCCAACAGGAACTTCAAAAAGCAGGAAAAAATATTCTCTCCATATATGGGCAAACCTCTTCCACAAATTAACAAACTCTCACTGCTGCTTAAAAAGATTTTGAGAGAAGACTCTCAAGGGGCTCCTGAGGGAGGAAAGCCAGTCAGATTTCAGACAGCAGGAAACAGTGGGAATCTCCCTGAATGAGAAAAGACAAAGCACAGCTCTCATCAACTGTCGCCATGTAAGAATGATGTCTTAAAAGAATACACAACATATTTTAGTAAAATCTCTTGATTTTTACAATTGGCAACAAATTTAGATTTTCTTGAAACGCTATGTAAGTCAAAACAAAGCTCAACAGATCCAGCATTTGAGAATTTAAAAGAAAAACACACCTAAGGTCCTGGACACTCTCACCAAGTTTTTCCAAAAGAAATTTAATATCTTCACTGATATCTTCGTCATCGTACTTCTGCTGTTCCAAGTTCTCCAACTGCTTCAGAACTTTGCACTGAATCATGGCCAGAGCATATTCTTGGCGAGTTTCTCTTTCAGTTGACTTTTCTAAAAAGTTCTGGGTTAGACATAGTGATAATGAGAAACTGTATAATTTGTCATGTGATGTTCTCAGACCTCTGTACTTTCTGTTATACCTCTTTCCCCCTTCTAGTCTCAGGTTTAACCACCACCTTTAAGTGGATGACTCTACCTCAAATCCTTATTCATTTCTGAGTGTATGTCCCACATCAGAAGCCTACTTCTGATTATTTCCGTACTTCCTGGCTTACTAAACATCTTTAATTATCAACCCAGACTTGTACTCACTTTGGCAGCACATATACTACAATTGGACTAAAACAAAGAAGACTAGCATGGCCCCTGCATAAGGATGACACGCAAATTCGTGAAACCAGATGAGCTTTACAATACCGAACACGTTCACAATTAAATTCATCTCAATCCTTTCTCGTGGCCTTTCTCCATTTGCTGCCCACCTAGAGTACTTAAGATACTAAAAAAGAATGTTTCCTCAAGTACCTCTCTAGTTTTCAGTCACCTTTTTTCCTCCTCTCTAATCAACCTATAAAGGTACAAGGAACAATTTGAAAAAAAAAACTCTCTTGCTTGAACAATTATCAGAAAAGTTCTGTGACATTCAGGCAAATTCTCTAGTTTTCTTCTGTGACTTTCTATTTTTAAAAAGAGTACTTAGGAAAATAACAAAAGAACCTATAAATGTATACACTGTTCACTGAATTAACCAGTATTTCTGAGTAAGGACAAGGCTAAGCCCTAGAAGCAGGAAGAAACACGACAGGCTCCTTCTGTCAAGACAGCCACTTTGACCACGCTGCTAAAGAACTGCCAAATACCCCCATCCCAAAACACAAAGTACAGTAACAACTTCACGTCAATCAGGCAATAACAATTCTAAATCAACTGTACCAAAATTTGAAACTACTTCTTTTTCTTTTTACAAGCAAGTTATAGTCCTAATAATTAGGATAAATAGATGCAAAAAGAGATTTAGCTTAGCATGTGGAAGTTAGTGAGGTCGATGCCCACCATTCTTCTGTTTCCCTCAGATTTCAAGTACCTTGAGAGTAGTTTCCTGTTGCTCCATGAATTGGTATTAAACATGTTTGGGGACAGGATTTGTCTTAAGAGTTTTTCAGAGCTTTGCCCTGAAGGAATATGTGAACGTGTTGGTTTGCATTTCGAATGCTGTTACACTCGGAAGGGTGTCTCTGAAAGGCAGTAGCGGCTGTATCCCACGAGGCGCCGCGTTTCTCGGACCTAAAGGTTTGGATTTTGTTTTGTAAAGCACAAGTGAATCTGTTAAAAACTATAGGCTGAGAGCTGACAATGGAGTGCCCTTCGGAACAAACAGCTTCCCGGAAACGACAGCTTCCCGAATAGCTAAAAGCAAAGCTTTTGTTTAAACCACTCTAGACTACCTGTCTCCATTCACAATAACCTAATAAACATGGAGCTTACATATCTCTGTCTAACCCCTCTGTTTAAATGATAAACTTACCTTAGAATTTAGAAATTAACCTTTGAAAGACTTTGTAACCATTTGCTCACTTAAATAGAATTAGTTACAGAATCTGTGGAAGCCTTCTGTAAAAGCCTTTTGAAAATCTGTTAACCTGAGAGGAACTACCTGTTCCTGTTATGTAAATCTGTTACCCCTGACAATTGTTCACTATTTCCTATAAGTTACCATGTAAGACCTCATTCGGGGCTTTTGAGATCCACGGAGAGGTCTAAGCCCCCTGAGCTCCCGCTTTGCCTATAATCTTTATAAACTTATAAAACTATATCTTTGTCTCAGTGTATTCTTTTATTTCTTCCATTTTCCATTTCTCTCTATTATTTTCTTATCCCTTGCAACTCTACCAAAGGGACCTGGTTTTTTTCAGGGAACACTGGCCACGTTCCCTGCAGTTTCCCTTAGTTTATTTATATCACCAGTACTTGGCTGTCTCTGGCTCAGAGCAGGCACTCAATAAAGTATTCGTTAACCTAATATTCCTCCTCAGTGCTTACATCTGTAAATATCACAAACTATTTGCAATCCTTTTTTATTATACACAGATAATGAGTAGCAGTAGCAAAACTAAATTAACTTGCTTTAATTACTTCGCAACTAAAACATGAACTTTCACTTAAGTATAATGGACCAAGAACCTACTGGACAAACCCCTCCCTTATAGAAAACAACCATAAAACCTGGACAGACTCAAAAAGCAACTACCTCAAAGAATGGTGAATAGAAACAGACGCTAATGTGAAGATCATACCCTCTGAGGGTAGGGAAGTCAGGGAACAACATAACTAAGTTCCTGTCACTGAAGTTTTTATCCTGAAGCTAAGTATGGTCTGTGCATTGGACACACTGGCAGTCAGAGAACCCACAGAAAAGCTGGAAAGTAGCCTTTTTGGCCTGGGGAACCAGAAAGGTGAAGCTGGAAAACCATGAACACTGAGGAGGGTGGAGAAAACCACCACGAAGACTAGCAGAACTAGAAAGGGGACCCAAATTCTATGTAATCTGTTCTCTGACCAACCCCTGAAACATGCATGTGCAGGACAGACTCAAAGCAGCTCAGCCAAAGACAAAGATCTGAACTACAACCAGAGCTGCTACCCAACTGTAGGTCAAAGTCAGTCAAGAAAACTCTCAGCTAAAACAAAAGAAACAGTAACTTACTGGAGAAAAATAGAATGCAGAATCTCCACAACACAGCATTCATAATGGCCAAGATACAATCTAAAATTACCAAAAATACTAAAAAAAAAAAAAAAAAAATGACAAAACAGAATACAGTTAGAAGAAAATCAATTGAGTACAGCTATAGGATGAACCAGACGCTGGAGCTAACAGACAAGGATTTCAAAACGACCACAATCCTCAATGAAATACAATATGCTTTCAGTGAATGAAAATCTCAGGGAAAAAATAAGAAATTATTAAAAATGATCAAATGGACATCCTAGAAGTGAAAAATACAATTTCTGAAATAGAAAATTAGCTGATAGACTTAAGAAACAAGTGGAGATAAGTAGGAAAGATTAAATAAACTTGAAAATAGATCAAAATTATCCAAGGAGGAAAACAGAGAGATAAAAGATTTTTAAGAAATGAATAGAGGAACCCATTAAATGTTACCAAACAATCCAACATATGTGCAAAAATAGAATGCCAAAAAAAGAAGGAAAAAAATGCAGCTGAAATTTTATTTGAAGAAATAATAGCTGAAAATTTCCCAAATCTAATGTGAGAGAAATTTTTGGACATAAAATGTTCAAAGAACACCAATTCCAAGCAGAGCCACATCATTCTCAAGCAGACGAAAAGTGTGAAGAATATTTTTGCTGCATATAGAATTCTGGGTTTACGGTTCACAGACAAAAAGACAAAACTAAAACATAAGCACCAAGTTACCCTGGTAAAATTTATGAGACTTATAAACATTAGTAAAGCCTCTATCTATTTAAAGTAGAAAGTATTCATTCTTTCAGTCAATCTAATTTGGAACTGTTATCTTAAGTCATAAAATGTGCCTCATGCACACAACAAAAAAAAAGTTTCCATAATAAAAATCATTTTCAAAATCCACGTTTCACGCTATTAAGTGTTAAGATTGTCATCATGGTGAAAGAATTACTACAAAGAACAAAACTACAATTCTGTGATATTTTCATGTTACTTCTGAATTTCTATCTAGTGCCACTGTTTTATTCATTCATGTGAAATACTGTGAACAAAGTATGTATTTAATGGTTCAAAATACTAAATATATTCCACAGATTCTATTTCTAGTGATGGAAAAGTATAATTGCTCCTATTTGATCAACTCTTTCATAGAAAATTACTAAAAAATCTGAATGAAATATAAAACCTGAAGGAACAAAGGACAGTAGAAATTGGAAAGGATTCTACACATGGAAAAAAATAACATCTGAACACACAATGACCAAAATTTTTCTAACTTCAGTAAACGACATAAATCTACAAATCTGTAAGTTCAGAAAACACCAGAAAGAATAAATGAAATAAACTAAACCCCCACATATCACAATGTTCAAAAAACCAAATATTTAATATAACGAGGAAATTTTGACAGCAGCTAGAGAAAGACAATACATTATATACAGGGTAACAAAAATACGAAGGAAGGCTGACTTCTCATCAGAAACAACAGAGGGAGGTCACAAGACAGTGGAATGATGTCTTTAAAATGCTGAAAGCAAAAAAGAACTATGAACCCAGAATTTGTATTCGGCAAAAATATCCTTCAAGAATAAAAGTAAAATAAAATCATTTTTACATAATGAAATTGAGATACTCAATCACCAGCAGACATAAACTAGAAGATGCGCTAAAGCAGGGGTTGGCAAACTTTTTCTGTAAAAGGCCAAAGAGTAAATATTTTAGGCTTTGCAGTCTCTGTCACAACTATAGAATTCTGCTGTTATAGTGCAAAAGCATCCATAGAAAACACATAAACGAATGAGCAAAGCAAATGAGTATTCCAATAACACTTTATTTATAAAAATAGGTGGTGGGTCAGATTTATCCCATTGGCTGCTGTAGTTTGCTGACCCCTGGGCTAAAGGAAATTCTACAGCTGAAAGAAAATGATATCACCTAGTGGAAAATTTAAGTATAAGAGAAAAATTAAGGACGTACATAGTGACATTAAAATAACCTTTAAGAAATAAAATACTGCAAAAAGGAAGTTAAAACCCAAAACAAAAATTAAAATAAAAATTTTTAGATTTATTAATACATAATAGTTGTAGATATTTTCAGGGTACATGTGATATTCTGATAGATTCATATAAAGTGCAATGATCAAATCAGGATAACTGGGATATCCATCACCTTAAACATTCATCTTTACTTTATACTGGCAACATTCGAATTATTTTCTTCTAGCTATTTAGAAATGTTAATAGGTTATTGTTTACGACAGTCACTCTACTAAATTGTTGAACACTAGGTCTTTGTTTCTTCCATGTAATCATCTTTCTGTACCCATTAATCAACCTCACTTCATCCCC